AGACCCCTCCAGCGTGGCGCCCTCTCACAGCCCCACTCACTGGGAGCAGCCTGTTTACACCACACTCACAAGACCTTGAGGGAGACCAGCTGAGCAGAAGGAAATATGGGAAGTGTGTGAGTGGATCTGTGTGTGTGCAAAAAATGTGAGTGTGAGCGCGCGTGTGTGTGTGTATGCCCGTGCCATATCGATGTTATATTAGAAGTTTTTACTTTTTTAGTCAGTTTAATGCAATGTGCATCCATGGGGCCTTAAACAGTTAAAAAAAAAATACCCACACAGTATAGAGTGTGATTCCTGGGTCACCCGCCAATCAAAAGCAGAAGAAAACTTAACAAACATGTGCCATCAAAAATTTCGTATGTTGGGACATACAGGAAAGGGTGTAAAGATAGACAAGTGAACGAGACGTTGAAAGTGGACAAATGGATTGATGAGTGACTCCGATTTGACCCAGAAGTGCTGGGTTTAGACTGACATAATCAGAATTTATTAACCAAACTAAAGGTTGTTTGTGATGTCTTTGTGTTATTTTATATGAGTAGTAAGTTTATTGTCATTGTGGATATCCTAGGGTGTAACTTTATTGTGTTTGATTTGATATTACACATCAACATCTGCACCACTGCTTTTGGGGGGTAAAAAAAAAGACATCTTTCGATGATCCCTGGGGTTGTTTTTTCATGGCCGGAAAAGGATAGCTGCAACTTTTCTTTCTCTGTAGATAGCGCAGTCTCACTGTATCACTGTCCTGCCTTCATATTAACTTTGCTGAAGTGATCAATGAAGCATTTAAGGGGAAAAATAGGAAAAAGAGAGGGAAAGAGAGCTCTAAAAGATGCATTTCGACTTGTTGCTCAGTCTCGGACACTTACCTCAGCTCTGTTTGTTTTGTGCCAACAGCAAAGGAGAAATATGACTGGATACATGGGTGACTAAAGCAAATTTCCACTTTTCTTTTTGATTGCTAAGTGCCTAAAAGATTCCTGATCCACCTTTAACAGAGTTCAAATCTATAAGTGCAAAGTCTCAACCAAATCTCTCAAGATAATTGGCCAGCTTGGGTCCTGCTTAAGGATTAGAATCACATGTACGGCCGTTCTGCTCCACATGTGGGCCAAAGCCACGCTTTTGTTTTTACACTTTCTTCCTATGTTGCGCCCTCTCCCCCCTTTTACCAATGTGAATAATGGTCATTACCACAGCTTCATCTTTATTACGTGACACATACTTTATCATTTTATACTGACCCTTTTCTCACATAGTTGATATTTTTATGTAAGTAATAATGCATCGTGTCACACCTTTGTTTCTTCCATTTTGTATAATTCTGGATAGTTTTGTAAAGTGTTTGCTATACATTCACTTGAGTATTTTGCTTCCTTACCAGAAAAGCAATGTTGAAATATTATTGTTGTCATCTATTAAATCAATTTATTTATAAAAAAGAAAGTCCTGTGTGAGAGTGATTTAATGCAGTGGTAGGTGTTCAGGAATAACATATGAAGCAGTTAGCAAGTGAAGGGTGAAAAAAACTAGAAATTAATTAAAAACACGCAGCTGACGTGTGAACTGTAATAACAACACAACCAGAGCCCCACCACCATAAGCTGTTTAGTGTGTTTGTGTGTGTGGTAGGCTAAAATTGACTACTAATTCCCCCACATTTAATCGGCTGGGGACTGCGTGTTACTGACAAAGACAAAGAGAGCCATTCAACGAAAGCAAGGGACAGAAAGAGAGAAGGGGTGGGTGTAAAGAGTCAGAGGCAAGGCCAATTTCAGCTCAGTAACCAGCGTACACTCGGACTTTTGTACATGGCCTTCCTTTCACTCTACCCTCTCCTCTCCACCTGAGGCTCCCTCCCTGCCTCCACACTCAGCTGCAGTTTAAACCCATTCAGATGGCACGCAAAATTCAAAGGTCAAGTTCATTGCTCTCTCCGCATCGGGGGCGATGCAGACATGCGCCAAAATAAGGAAGTGGGAGTTTTAAATGAAAAGAGCAGCCCAAGCCCAAGGGAAGTTGTTACGTTACACAAAGGCATCTTAGATTAATCTTAAATTGTGGCATCTTAAATTAATCCTACCAGTCGGAGAATAAACACTCTTAAAATCATGTTGTGGGCAAGATGAGAAAAAAACAGATAAGCAGCCATGGCTCCAGCTTTTTGCCTACCTCGAGGCCATGACAAAACTGAAAAACAAACCGTGAATGGCTTTTAAAAGGGGGCATGTGAAGGAGTGCGCTAAAAAAAACCCAACCTTTTTTAAGAATGTAAAAAGATTCTGAGCAAGTTTCATGAGTAGATATAGATATTCACATGAAAACATTGCATTTTTGCTTTTCTGCACCTTTACATCATTTTATTCAATAAAGCATTTCATACTTTGTTAAATATTGGTGAGTTTATTGTGTTATGCTACATAAACTCATATAGAGTCCAAATAAACTCACATAAGACCATACTTAGAAATACTTTCATTTCAAAGATTTAGTTTTTTATACTTCATCAGTACAAATAATCCCAAATAGTATTATAATGTAATACTATTATATTACTTATCTGCTTTCATCCATTTTCAAGGCTAAATTAGAAATCAGCCAAACCAAGCTCAAGTAATTCATATTATGTTATTTGGGTGATCGTAACGTTGCTACAGCAACTCACAGCACAGACACTGGTGTTAGACAGGAGCACACATGATTATCTAAATGCACATGCTACAAATTCCTCAAAGAGTCATAAGTGGGAATTCATTGCTTACATTTGCACAATTGTGTCTGAAAAAAACCACAAGACTTCTGGAAAAATGTCCTTTGGATAGTTGAGACCAAAATGGGGGTGTTTGACTTTAATGCACAGCATGACATTTGGAAACAGCTCACACCAAACTATTGCTATGGCCATTTTGCAGACACAGGTCCTTGGCACCTTGCAGTCACTGAGTGAAAGTATTCTAGAATTAAATTTGGCACAATCTGCCCAAGAGATAAAGCTAAAGAAAAGACTCAAAGTGTTGCAGGGTCCTAGTCAAAACCTGATTGAATGCTGCGGCATGCATGCAAACCTCAAAGAAAAGTAGGCAGAGATTCCTTCACAAATGTGAGCGACTGACACAAAAAACAGATACTTACTGCAGAAAAAAAAACAGATAGTTACTGCTGATAAAGGTTGTTATACAAAAACTATGGAGTGTACATAGGTTTTCACAAGACTCCAGCTTGTCAGCTATAACATTTTTGGGTCAGACAGCAGCCCAAATGCTGATTAAAGAGAAGAAGCTTGGTGCAGTATCACTCCTCAACAAACAGTGGCAGTTACAGTTTTGATACAGTTTGCTGATGCCATAAAAAGAGGGGAGGAAGAAGAAGAAGACCTCAGTGCAGAAACAGGCAACAGAAGCAGCAGTTAGTGTTTCCAGCTGTCAGACAGGATTCAGAAGAACATTGGGAAGAGAAAATAATAGAAAGGAATATTCTCATATGTAACAGGGTGAACAAATCACAGCTATATTTGTAATGCTGAGAGGCAGAGCTGCTGCATACATCCACACAAACAATTCAGCTAAATTTATTCACTTAAATAAGCTTTTAAATTTTAAGCTCTTTTAAACATGTGAAATATGATTTCAGCTGCTGTTTTGTCTCATAATCATGTTTGAGTTACAGTATCGGTCCAGGCACAGACCAAAACATTTATTTTTTTAACCACATTTGTGAGATTCGTGTATGCTGACATTTGCAAATCAAAATGTGAGGTAGTTTGTCACCTTGAATAATGACTGAGTGTCAGAATACTTAACAACTAAAACAGCAAAAAGAAATCATCATGGTCCCATTATGAATTGCTCATTAGCTGATGCCAACTTTTCAGTCAAATCAAAGAGGAATATCATAGTTTGGTCAATACTTTTAAAAATGGCTAAAGAGCTGGGAAAGCTCAATAAGAGACATTTGCATGAGACAGAAAATAAAGTAGAGGAGGCAAGAAGCAAGACACAAGACTGAAAATAATATAAAGAGCAGATAAGAACTGGTCACAGCAGCTTAAACGGATCATATTTCATGGCTATTACAGAAACAGAAGAGCACATCCTCATCCCCTGCAGAAAAAAGTTATGTATGTGCAAGGATTGGCTAGGGTTAAAATTAAAGCTGTGCAGATTTAGTAGAGGAAAGAAACTCAATTAGTGGGTTGTTGAAAGCAACTATATTAATGGGCCTGTATAGTAAATGAAATGATCTGTTTTGCAAGTGTCTTTAGGACTCTGCATCATTGTACTTGTTGTAATCAGTCAAGTCCTTTTTAGCCTCTTAACATGTTTAGCTGCAATTTCTGATGTCCTCTAGGCCAGATCTCTATTTAAAAAGGCATCTCTAAAGTCAATGAGACCTTAGTATCTGGATAAATAAAGGATACGTACAATTCAGTTTTCCAAAACCTGACTGGCGCTTCTACTTTGTGACAGGAATGTTCATTCTGACTCAAAGAATAGTACACTAGTTTATACAAAATTTCATTATAGGGAATATTATAGGGTTACTGGCTCAGAAAGAGAAACAGCATGTTTCGTCTTTGTGCTGGAATGATGAAGAATAAAGATTATTAGAGTTTTCCTGACGGTGACAGAGAGTTAAAAAACTTCAGTGTAGGGACTTATGGGGGACTACAAGTCCCAAAACAAAGGAAATAAATACATAATTAAACAATTTATTATTTTTTTATTGATTAATTAATTAAGGGAATAATTAATGAATTAATGAATATATAATTATTGTATTAAATAGCTGTCCAATTCATTTAAAACATTTGATACATTACTTATTTATAATTTATAATTTAATATTAATTAATTAATTAATTAATTAAACTTTTATTTGATTATTCAATAATGTATTTATTTAACTAATTTTGGAACTTGCGGCCCTCTAAAGGGAATCGGTACGGGGCAAGAAAAGACTGAAATCATTGACTAAAAAACTGGGGGTGGCAGTAATACAACTCTAGAGAATTAGAACTGCCATCAAACACAAGAGAAGAAGAACCGATGATGACGTCGATCCAGGGGCGCCAAATCTGCTGCACGGTGCACACAGAAGTACTCGTCAGGTGAAGTTTGGGGTGTTTTCATCATCTGAGCAGGTCAGCATAAACTTTGCTTGCGTTTATGACGATGTGTGCTACTTTGGCATTTTCTCCCAGCAGCCTAAACTAATGACTTAAGCACAAATCTCCAGGGCGAGCTGGTTAAAACTGTCCGTTTGAGTGGCGCGTAGCATTTAGCTAACGTTTAAGCTCACAGCAGCCACACGGATAATAACAGAGCATTTCATATTTCTTCTGAAATGCACCTTTTCCGTTGATAAAATCCTCGTATAAAATATCCGTTCTCTAAAGTTGTAAGGATCCGAAATGTGGCGATTTTCTCTGTGTATGCAGTAAATGTAGGAGCAATTTCTTTAAGTTAATTGTCATACAATCATGTAATCCAACAACGGAATAACTGTGTGTGGTTATTCCATGTCCGATTGTAGGTCTGTGTGTGTTTCATTGTGTCTGAATGTGTATAACTTAATGAGTCAGAGCTGGATCTCACATTGCTGTCATTTGACTTTTAGAGTACCATCGCACAGTGGGATCTTACATCTCCCTTCATAAAGTCCCTTTAAGCTCCGGACACACACCCACAGATTCACACATCATCATTTGCTCTCCTGTCAGGAGCTCAGTCTGGGTAGAGCTTTTTTTCCCTCCCTGTAAGGTAGGTAAGAAAAACAATGTTGTGTATTTCATTGTTTTTCTTACCCACCTTACATATCAGTTTCTTTGTTTTTTCCTGATTTGTTGCTAAATATTGATATTAAAATATTCATAAATATAGTGTGTGGAAATCTTTTTCTCTTTATTTTTTATTTTTTTTAAACGGTAGTAGAAACCTGCCAGCCAGCTGCAGCCCTTGTGGGTTACAGTCTAAATTTAATGTTTTTGGTTTCTCTTGGCTGACTAAAACTTGTTTGTCCTTCAACAGCCACCATAGTTAGGATATCGACTTGAAAAGGGAGGAGTAAGAAAACAAAATTCAGTTTACTGCAGTCTTTCTAGCAGTGATATTTTACACACTGCAACTTTTAACCTGATCCTAAAGCGTGTTTTTTTTTTTCTGTTTTTGTTTTTTTGCACACTTTATTTAAGTTTGCACAAATGTATGGTCAGTCTATGCTGTCGAAACATTAACACCCCACTGTGTGCCCTGACACACCTGATTTAGATACTAAACAGGGCATTAAATGATGCCGCTTCTTCAGCAAAATGTATTAAGTGTGTTGTTGCAGTTTTTCTGAGTTCAAAAAAATTAATTTAAAAAAGTTTTACATTTTCTGATTAATTTTTTTCCTTTAGTTTTCAGTATTTGTTTTCTCTTCAGTTAGGCTTCAGTTATTTTTGTAGTGGGTTTGATCCTTATATTTATTTAATTATTTGGTTTTAGTCTTTTTAATTAAAGTTTGGAGGGTATTTATCAGGGGCATCTCTTACAGAAGTTTAAAGTAAGTAAAATAATAAATACACGCCTTACTTTGTGGCTCACTGAGACAAAAGTCAACTTTAAATGTAATTTAATGTTGCATGTTCTTTCAGCCATCAGTCATGGACCTCAGCCCCTTTGAAGATGACAACTCCGTCAGCTGCCGGCTGGTTTCTGAGATCCCTGAAGTCTGCAAAACGGAGGATTGCTGTCTTGGCATTGATGAGGCTGGCAGGGGGCCTGTGCTGGGTACGTGACTTTTACTTACTCTAAGCTAACCACTCGAGGTTATTCTATACTGTATTTGAAACACAGAGTGCAAAGTATGTAAAGTTATGTTGAAACATAGTGTTAAAATTGCACTTAACTAAATTAAATGTTTGCCAAATTTGGCAAATTTTAGCCTTTAATTGAACATTAATTAAAAACCTTCATAAAATGTTTAGAAATTTTATCCTACAACTTATTTTAAAATTTAATAATTTTGTTTACTGGTCTGGATACACAGAATGTGAAATTCTGGTCTAATACCAGTGTTAAAGAACAGTTTGTCCAATGCTTTTGTTTCTAATATCCCTTCTTTGCTAGAAAAACGAGAACATTTTAATGGTTAAAAACCAACAGATTTTCTGATCATCTCACTGTCCTTAAACATTAAGGCAGTGGAAATATTTGACACAAGATAGTTACTTAATCTTTGGTAAATGCCATGTTATTTGTTGATAGGAGCCAACCATGTAGCTATGAGCTGATATTGATGTTTGTTGTCTCCCTGTTATTTGCCATTTGAGTTTTGGGTGAATTAGTATGTGCATTTAGTAGAGAAATCTAACAGTTTTGATGTTACTTGTGATGCAGGGCCGATGGTGTATGGGATATGTTTCTGTCCACTTTCCAGAAAGGAGGAGCTGAAGGACTTGAAAGTAGCAGGTAAACCAGTTTGCTTGTATTGCTGTATTTAAACGGAGAAAAATGCAGCAGTCTTTCTGAATATAATGCTTTAAACTCATTGTCACTGCTGTCCTCCTGTACAATTAAACAAAAAAAGAAAGAAAAGTAGTAGGGGTGGGCGATATAAACAATATATGATAGAAACGATATAAATTTGGCCAACGATAGAGATTTTGACTATACTGCTCTACCGCGATAGCGCATGTTGATGATGTCATCAAGCTGCCCCTGTTTTGGTCGAAAGCAT